CCCAGCAACCGCTGAAACGCGCGGCCCCCATGTCCAACAGCGGTTGAAGATCAGAAAGCACGCCGCCGTTACTGGATAACGTCGATGACGGAGCCCGCGGAACAGCCCCTCGAGTCCACCAATGTACATTGCGGGCCCCAGCATCGGAACCGTGCGAAAGCCATGGCCTCCACTCCTCACTGCTTTCATTCCTATACGCGCTCAGGAACTCCCGGGATTCCCCCCAGGGCCTCAACGCCCCTAGCCGGCAGATCGATGCAAGCGCCTCCAGAGGCCCGCGATACAAGGCGTCGAAAACGTCCTGGGCAACGCCTTGCGCCCCGATGTACTTCGCTTCAAAATCGCCGATCTGGTCCGAGATCAAAGACGGAGGTCTACAGAAGAGATCGCCTGCCTCGCGCAACTGGCCAAGTGAAGAGAAAGCTCCCCCGGCCCGTGCCCCCCCCCCCTCCTGCGACGGCTGCGCGTGGGCCAGGCCCGCTGGCACTGGGTGGCTCCAACACAGCGGCGCCAGGAGCGGCGGCGACGCCAGCGCCTGTCGAATGGCCCGCAGAGCCCTCCAGGCGGAGCGCCGCCAATGATATTCTGAAAGTGCTCTCCACACCGCGAACCGCATATTGCTTAGGCCGCCGAGAGACGCACTTATCCCGGCCCGAAACAGATTCTCACGCCGACTTAGGAATCCCCCCACCAGTTCCCAGGGTGGGTAGAGTAAATTGCCGACCCCCTTGGAGCTCAATCTCGGCCTCGCTGGCCCATGGTGCGCAGAAAGTAAAGTGATCAGGCGTTTCTGGGTCGAGCCCCATAGAGGCTCGAGAGCGCGCCAGATCAAGCACATACTGCCCGCAAGCGAGTTCCTCATGTCAGGGCGGCGGCTCTGGCGAAGGTCCAATCGTCTCCGCCGCAGCGGGAGGTGGTGGTTTGACGCGTCCGAGCGCCTGCAGGTTCGCGATCTGCTTGAAATGCTGGATCCTCACTGGCTGGCGCGGCTTCGTAGCCGCCTCGTGCCTGACAGTCGCGTGCTCGATGGCTTAATACACGCTGCTGGACACGACAAAATAGCCCGACTGCCGAACGCCCTCCCTCGAAGTGCCCGCGCACGCGCCCTGGGCATATGGAAATGCGATGTTGGCCGCGGGAGACTGTGCTAGATCGCTCGCAGCCAGTTCCTGGGGCCCCATCTGGAAATCGGCCCCGCGACGAACGGCCCCTGGTGCCATGATAACAAGGACCCCAATGCGGGTAGCATACTAAGGTTGTACTCCGAGAGGCCCTCCGAGTCCTTGGTATACGCAGACGCCGCCAGAGACGACATGCCCCCAGCAATCTAGATAACCGAAGCCGCGATACGATTCGGGACCAGATGAGGACCGTCTCCAAGATCGCGCAAGCCCAGGAAGTTTTCACAACGCATTGCAACTTCACCCGACGACCCAAGCCCCACAATTGGAGCAGCCGAAAGGAATCGCGATTTCCACGCTGCCCGTAGGGCCCACTGATGGGCCTCGCCGACCTAATCGAAGGAAGCGTGGTGGTGCTCCTGGACGAGGAGCACATGCGCTGATGTCCGACTGGGAAACGACTTCGCGGCCCCCTAGCGCACGCAATTCGCGATCTCTATCTCCAACTCGAAACTGTCCGAATTCGAACAAACTGGGGCCCAGACACATGCGCCAACTTCCAAGGGTGGGGCCCTGTGGGCGGGGGGGCGAATTCGCCCGGCTATGGCCGGAGAAAAATCAGCGTCAGAAAAAATCCGACCACTACTTTAAAATGAAGACCTGCTGTTGCGCCCCTCGTCTCCATAGCCCCTGCATGACTTGAAGAGGGAGGCGAAGGGCCAGACGGATGAAACTGGATGGGCGTCCTCGCTAGCGCCCTCTCCTGCGCCGGCCACGTCCTTGGCCCGCTCGCGCACGTCCATGGGCGTCGTAAGCGAGGCCGTCGTTGCATCGGGAGCTTCTGGAACTGCCTCGTCGCGACAGACCGCTGCAACTCCCCCAGCGTGGCCTGGCTGCCGCCGCTGGGGGGCCCAGGCGAAGTAGGGGCCGCCGCGCCAGCGGGGTCGACGGGCTCCTCGCTGCACGTGTTAGACCTGCGTTTCTTGCCGTTGTCGGTGCCAGGAAGTTCGTCCTCATCGGCCAGCACCAGCCAGCCCTCCCTTGTTGCCTGCGACGGTGTCCCGCAGACTGGTGCCACCAGCGGTACCGGGAGGACCAGTAGGCTCAGGGCGATGAACAAACTTGTGAAATCCCTGGACCATCTCTTTGCGTTTAGTATCCTACTCAGCGAGGCCCGGCTGCGCGACGGCATGCTTGGACTCGTACCCTGCCAACCACTCCCGTGCCTTCTCCACGTTCGTGATGGCGTTGTTGAGGGCTCTTCTCGCGGATCTGGACCCATTGGAGTGCCTCTGCCGCTTGGCGTTCCAGAGGTTTGACAGCAAGACCCTTGGATTCAGCAACTTTCTGCTTGCTCCAAGCCTCGTACTGCTTGGGCGCCAGCTTATCCCCGAACTTGACTGCAATGGCCAGCAGAAAGTTGATCTCCTCGAGCGTGGTGTCCATCGGCATCTCTGCCGCACTCGTAGAACCTGGCAGAAGTCGCGGCGGTCCTCTCTGCCACGCCCCGTGTGTGCGCGGCCTATCGAAAACCTCAACATCCACGCGAGACCGACCACAGTGTTTGCACCACTGGAGCCAGTATTGATCATTGGCGAGCCCGCGGTCGGGGTAGGACAATTTCCAACGCTGCTGGCCACTGGACTTGTCGCAGCTGCCATGATAAGTCGTCCAATGCTGAGTCTTCCCCGGCATGGCGAAATCGCGCTGGACCTGGGAAGACAGCCGAATGCCGAGCAAGAAAAAACCCGCCGTCACCCAGCCGTTCTGAAGCGTCGGTGACGGCAAGTTCAGGAACAATGCCTGAGCCAGAACGGCTTGTCAGGGGCATAATGTCGGACGCTCGAAATGGGTACGGTGCCCATCAGCCGACGTTGTCCAAAACCGACACTGGCCGCTGTTGGGCAGGCGGCCGCACCGCGGGCGGCGACGCAGGCAACGAATCCTGTTCAACATGGGCAGGGACCGCCGTTTGCTTTCGTGCCTATCCTTGCAGGACCCATGTCGATCGTGCCGAACAATTCCCCCAACCAGGCATTGCCACCCATGGCTGGCGCGGCGATCCGACCACATGCCGCTGCGAGGGCAACGCCACACGCGGGCCGCCGCGCGGTCCGAGCAAAAACCGCAACTAAACTGGATGACCCATCTCGGCGCGAAATGAGGATGTGCGGCAAGATGTAAGAGCTTCAGATGGCCATGTTGGCGTATTCGAACGGAGTTGGCCAGCGAACATCGCCAAGGATGGGCCGAAGGGGCAAGGATGCAAGGGTAGCCTTGGAAAGTTGCTACTCTTAACAATGCGAATTGATTGTGTGAGCAAACACAGACATTCATCGTACGCTCGCCCACCAAATCTGTGACCGATTTCTGCCAACGGGAGGGGGGAGGCGAAATTTGGAATACAACATTCGTTCGGGACGGTCATCTGTTGATGAGGTCGGATCCAGATTACCCCAATTCCCGATGCCCTGTGGTCGGCAAATGCCCTGTGGTAAGAACGGGTAGAATCGAGATTGCCGAGAATTTCGGGAAACATATTCCAGAGACGAGCCAGCCAAAGGTCTATCGAGAATTGCTGGTCCGATACGATCACCGAAGGTTGATTGGAGACTCGGAGCGCGCGGCTTCGGCGGGGGCTCCCACCTGGCCTTGCCATCGCAGATCGTGCTTCGTATCGTGCGCGACGTGCTCGCATGAACAGGACTGTGCAAGCGCTGCCGTGTCCCAAAGGCTTCGAGACGAAATCGGCTCTGCGTCCAATTCGGATAGATTGCCCGTAGCTTCCTTGTGCTACAAGGTCACGATGACGCAATGATGCAATGTTGCGAGCTATTGCGTGACTGTGATTTATGGCCCCGTGAGGTCATAGCGTGCGGTGAAGTCGCGGTGTATTGTTGCAGCGGTGTCGCGACATGGTGTTGTGATGTGTCGGGCGTCACGGCGTGTCGCACTGTCGCTATGTGTCTGTGTGTTTATGTTTGTCTATTATGGATGTTTCGGCTGTGGTGGACTGGAGGTGTCGCGGTGCTTGCTGTCGTGATGCTAAGCGGGCGTTGTGGTGCAAGCCGAGTAGACGTTGAAACACTGAGACCTCCGCAAACGAGGATAACAACGGGACCCGGCCGCCCAGAAAAGGACGGAAGAACAATGACCCGAGCGAAGGCACGTATCTCTGCAGTGGACTGGGCCGCTTTCCACTCAAGCCATCATCGAGGAAGAAACGTTGCGCTGGAAGGAAAGCGGGCCCCAAAAACGAACGAATCAGGATCGGAAGACACCCACACGAAACGTGGATCCAACATAAAACGGAAAAGCAACGCACACCTACACGTGTCAAGCAACGATTTCACATCGATGCAGGCGCCGCAATCCGTGAGCACGCGTGACATGAATTCCAGGCTCGGATAAGAGCGAGCAAGCGCCAGACTGAAGAGCAACCTACGCTGAAGCGCATGTTCGGCGACACATCGCTTACTGCACCCATGGCTGAAGGGCGCAACAGCCCGTCGCAAGCGCCGTATGGCAGGCATACGCAAAACAAGGGCGGGTATGCCGCGCCTGATTCCACCAGATGCACACATGATACATACGCGAACCAACTGATATTCTAACACAACTGGATCACGTACGCCAGAAGCGTCATCGGCAAGCACATAAGCGGATGCTGCTCCTGCACATGTACATGTACAAAACGCAGTGGATCATCTACTTGGTTATGACACATGCAAGTGTACGGGACCTTCAGACATGTCAATTACAGCAGAAGTAACGCCGCTTTGGAACGGATGCGATACCTTCTTGCGGCCATAAGTCATGAACTACTGTCAAGCCGACGTTGGCATGACAGAACCCGCTCTGACCTCCCGGGCCGCCCACCTGGTCCGCAACAAGCGGGTTTCGCGACACATCCAGCTCGGCAATACGCACCTTGGGCCCGCTCTTCCTCAGGAGCTGCACTAGGTGCGAGTCCAATTCCTCCTCGGCTTGGCGGATGGATGCGCCGAACTCTCGCGGACGCAGGGTCCGCCAGCGCACTGCTGGGCACGACCATGACAAAAACACGTGTTCCACAAGGCATGTGCTATCTGCACGGAAGCCAACCTGCGCAACGGTTTGCAGACATATGGGCTGATGCTCGCCTGACACGAAAAAACATGGGCGGCACACACACTAACACACACACGCACATAGTTGCTCGGGCGTTATGGGTGGGCGAATAGCCACACCGTTGGGCGCACGGCGGGCGGCCGAGCGCGCAGCGGTCGGGGAAAAAGGAATGTCGAGACGGTTGGCTCCTCACGGGGCACACACACACACACACACTCACTCACGCACATACATTGATCAATGACAAACCACGGGACGTGGGTATCGTGATAAACACAACAAGTCGTGCCTTGGTCGTAAACTTAAATATTCCCAGAGGCTGCCACCCCAAGTGCGCTAAACGAAGACGGCGCCGCCGCCGCAGCGCGAGCTCCTCGAATTGTTGCAGTGCCCCCCACCGAAAAGGAAGAAGCGCGGGGGCGGTGGCGGGGGGGGGGGAGGGCGAGCGTTACCTGCCGACAAAACCGCCAGCAAGGCGCGACAGCGAATCCAGCCACACAGCAACATGGGGGTGGGGGTATCAGGAGGTCCAAGCCCTCCGTTGACGCGCCCCCAAGCGCGCTACAGCGAAACAGGCCGCCGAGTCGCGGCGGAGAAGAGAGAGGCAGGACGGGAAGGAGAGAGAAACGGAGCAAAGGCGTGGGTAGCGCGTTCAGCCCTCACCCCTCATCACTCCTTGGGCCGACGCGAGGCCAATGCTGGGGTAAGAAACTACGAGCAGCAGCGTGGCCCAGAGGGCTGGATTCGGAAGCCAAGAGGGCGGTGAGAAGAACCAGACGGCCCGATTCGGGGCATGAAGCCACAAAGACGACAGAGACGGAACCAGAGGCAGCATGGGGCGGGAGCCCACCCAAGGCGTGCCGGGCGGGTGGGCCAGTGAGGCCTGGGGTGCTGGTTAGCGCTGGCGCGTCCCTGTCCTCCGCTTGTAGTCGTTGTCCCAATCCATCTCGCTCTCGTTTGTCCCCTCGGCATCCAAAAGGCGTGCCGAGGTTGGAGTGGCACAGCCATGTCTGGAACTCATCTCTGAGGTGTTGCTGTTGCACGAACGCCTCCAGGACTGCGAGTGCTAGCCGCTGCGGGTCCAGGGTGACACTGCCCGAGCTGCTCTGGCCACGTGCCGTTCTTCGCCATCTACTGTACACGCCAGTGCCGCAGCGTTGTCCAACATTTGAACACGTGCGCTGCAGGTGCTGGGCGAAGGCAGCGAGGGCGTGCGAGGGTCTGTCAGCGCGGCGTTTCTGAATGGGTTGGTCTCAGGGTCGCGCCATTGCTGTCCGCGCTGGGCGGTCCGCTGTATGTCTTGTTTCTCGTGTCTGCGTCGGGGCGGCGTCACGGTCACTGATGCCACTGTGGCATTCCCACCGACGCTGCTGCCACCGCGCGTGGTCCCGTGTGCTGCCAACGCGTGCCCAGCTGGAGCCGCTGGCGCCCCAGGACCGCGAGGCGTTGTCCCACCAAGAATCACCGGCCCGTTGCAGCAGGAAAGTCGTCGCGGGAATGGCGCGAAGAGCGGGGCTCGATGGGCCCCGCTGGGTGGGCAGGGTCGCGCGACCAATGTGATCTTGGGGGAGAGCGCTCCCGATGAGGCAGCACGGTGTCGCCGCCGCTGGAGGCGGCCTGCGATCGTCCGTCGCGGGTCCGCTCGGGACTCGACTGCCGTCTGTCCCGCTCAAGAGAGCGTCCACCTGGGGGCGGGGTGCCTGAGCCACCCACGACGCGAGGTCAGCTCGGGTCGTTGCGAAAGGGTGCGAATCAGGGTGATGGGGCCTCGCGTGGACGAGCGGCGCAGGTGAGGGCAGCCGCGCCGGGGGGCGTAGTCCATGATGGCGCGTAGCGAGCAAGGGCGCCGAGTTGAGCCCGTGTTGCGCCTTGCTGTCGTGGGGAGGCGTTCGAAACCTTCTTGCTGTGACGGCCCCAATCGTTCGTAGTTGACCGCGAGTGTCTTCCCAAAATGTCCACGCGCGCTCCTCTTCCTCCCGCCGCCTGCCGAGCCCAATTCGGCCACGTGCACCCCACGTCTGCCTTTGAACGCGAACAGGACTCTCGCTGCTGCGACAGAACAGTCTTTCCAGGGCGTAAGACCCACGCGATGTCGTCGCGATGAGTTAAGTGACGGCGTCGGCGAGGACGAGCTGCTTAGGGTCTCACTCACAAGCGTCGTTTGCTGCATACCTGCGTGTGGCAGCAGCAGGATGAGCGGATGCCTTTTTGCCTTGAGCCAAACCCGGCAACAGACCATGAATGTCTGTTATTCTGTCTCCTGCTCTCTAAAGAAAGATGTACATGCTAAACCTAACCCCTGAAAAGTGGAACTCCATCACATGGGTCAGACTTTCTAGTAGGTTTAGCAGCCCCTAACAGTACTGTACACACAAGTCAGTCGTCCTGCTGCACAGGATCGAGGAAAGGAGAGAGAGGAGAAGAGAGGTTGCCGAGCTCTGGACCCGGGACGACACCGCGAATAGCCGACAATGACACCAGATCAGAGTCCTGAGCAAGAGTTCTCCGAGAGGCGGCCTGGGACCTATCTTTGTGCCCAGGATCTTGCCTTCGACGGTCTAGCTCTGCCGACTCGTCGACCAGAACAAGCTTGCCATGGGTGAGCAGACTGGCCAATGCTGCGTTCCCCTTCGTGATATCATCCTTAGTCATGGCGTCCACCGGCATCCTGCCGTGTGGTATCCAGCGGATGCGTCCGCGGGCATTCTCTAACGTCTCGCACACCACTGCCAGGTCCAGCGCCGTGCGCCGATCACGCGCACTCGCATGCCCATCCTTGAGCATCGTGTCGTAGATACTTTTAGCATCTACAACATGGACCTGCTCCACGCGACTGCCGAGCCGGCAGTCGCTTCTCAGCACAGTAGTGAACGGTCCTGCACCCCTGCGGAGATCTGAAACGTTGACATCTCGAAAAACGATGTCCCTATACAAAACTTGCAGAAACTCAACTTCAGCCACGGCCTGGAAGAGTGCTTGCGTCTCGCCTGCAAGCGTGGACGTCACCTTCCGACGGAGCTTCGAGCTCCTCCACCCCAGGATCGAGGCCCGAACGACACGATTATCTATCACGCTCTTGTCCGTCGCAAGCACCATCCACGCGCCCTGGGTGGGGTCTTGGGGAAGGCCCCTCTCGTCCAGCTGCCCCTCGCTGGCCCCAACCCCCCCCGGCATCAGAAAACGACACAACGCCATGCGCTCCGGGTCGAGTCGCCAGATACTCAGGCCCCTAGAGGCCGTGGCCCTAAGGTGGCGCACCATTTTGTTGGCACACGCAATATCCCCCACGGTAGGCTCCTTGAGCCTGCTGGCCAGAATGCTGGCCGTACCTGCGGCCTCGGGTCGTGACTCCCGTCCGACCCAGTTCAACTTATATATAAGCGACCGAAGAGACTTAAATTCTTCTTTGTCAAGAGGCGTTTTCTTTTGACCCAACCTTCCCCTGGCCAGCACGATCGGGCGGAGCTCCTCGAGAATGTACTTTTCCTGATCGATAGTGGTGCGCTGGGGACCCACCCGAACGGATCTGCCTGCGTATTCGACGGGACCGGCATGACAGTCACGGTATTTCCCGAACCGGAATCGACTCTCGAGAGTCTCCCTCAGCCACTTCCGTGACTCTGGTGATTCGCTGGCAATCAGAAAATCGCCCACCTCTAGAAGGATCATGTTGAGGATTCTGCCCGTCGAATCGTACCGGGTCCACCAGCACGGCCCCAGCAGACTCCTACAGAAACCCTTATCCTTTAAGAAGCTGACGACCGTCTTGCGCCATGCGAGTGGCGCATCATCGAGGCCATACACATTGACCTTAAGAAGAATTAGCGATCCGCGTTCAACCTTGATGCCCTCACATGGCTCGACGTAAATGTCTCCTTGAGAACGACGCATCGGATCGGATTGGCAAAACGCGTTCTTAACGTCGGCTATGTCTCCTAAGAGGGACAGGTTCATCATGACCTGAAGGAACATGTGGATGGAGGTGGTCTGAGGAGTGGGGGAGTAGACAAAGAGTGACCCCGTGTCCGGGTCCTTGTGTCCGTGCACGCACCAGCGGGACTTAGCCTGAGGCTCGGAGAAGGTGCCTTCCACCGGCTTCCACCTTCTCACCATGCGGCCGGTGATGATCCGCTCGGGACATACCTCCCTGACCGCCTTCGCCCGAGCAGGTGATATCACCTCCACGGCTCCTGACTTCATCATATTTCCCCACTCCGCGTCGTCTGACACCTCGAACTTGGCCCTCTCGGCCGCCGTCAACTTGCCGAGTGAGACCTCGCCGCCACGGCTGGCAGCGAACACTCCCGCCCCCGGCTCAATCCCCGGGACCTCGGTCAGACACACGCTCCCGTTGTCTTCGGCTTCTGCCACAAAATATCCGCGCCGAGGGGACCGGTCGCGGTTGCGAGCTCGATCCTCGAACTCCTCGATCCTTTGACCGACGATACCTCTAGCTTCTCGGTCCGGCCTCTGACCTGGCCCTTGTGGATCGTAAGGTGAGTGAGGAGATGTCTCAGCAACGCTGGAAGGAGGGAGAACGGCTTCCGAAGTCTGTCCTGGTCCCTCGGAGAGAGGAGAGGGTCCTGAGTCGCCTGCGCTGCCTGCTCCCTCGCTTGGAGGAGCAAGTCCGGGGGGAGGCTCGATTCGAGCCCGCTTTGCCTCGCCCGTACCGGGAGGACAGCCTTGGCTGCGGTTAAAGGGGGGTCCAAAATCCCCCCGGGGAACCGACGTTGGCGGTGTGAGGGTAATGAGATCGAGGATGATATGTTGGCTTCGATGACGGTATGGGGATGATATGTTGAGGATGGTACGCTGATGATGCAATGAGGATGTTTGCTGGTCGCGATTACGATGGTAATGATATGATGATG